ATAGCACTTAGACTTCTATCTTCACAGTGCTTTACAGAGGTCACCAACTTTGTGGGCAACAGGGACCGGTTCCATGGGGAAAGGTTTTTCCACGGACCGGAGAGTGCGTGGTTTTGTGTGCTGCCTGCATCTCGCGGATGGGGCTTTTCTTGTTTGTGCGGACCGGTTGCTGGCATGCCGCCGTCCAGTACCGGTCCACCGGGGGTTGGGGACCCCTGCTCTAAGCGGTTTGCAAAGCCTCTTGCCCCCAACAATCTGGGTCCTCATTTTACCGGCCTTGGAAGGATGGAAGGCTGAGTCAGCCTGGAGCAGGTCAGGATCGAACTGCTGGCAGTGGGCAGTATGTTAGCCTGCAATACTACATTCTAACCACTGGGAGGGAGGGAGGGAGGGAGGGAGGGAGGGAGGGAAGGAAGGAAGGAAGGGAGGGAGGGAGGAATGAAAGAGGGAGGCAGGGAGGGAGGGAGGAGGGAGGGAGGAAGGAAGGAAGGAAGGAAAGGAGAGGGAGGGAGGAAGGAAGGAAGGAAGGAGAGGAAGGAAGGAAGGAGGGAGGCAGGAAGGGGGGGAGGAAGGAGGGAGGGAGGAAAGAAGGAAGGAAGGGCAATACCAATAGCACTGAGACTTATATACCGCTCCACGGTGCTTTACAGCACTCTCTGAGCAGTTTACAATGTCAGCATTACTTGCATTACTTGTATGTGCCGCCCCGCCCCCCCAATAATCTGGGTCCTCATTTTACCGACTACGGAAGGATGGAAAGCTGAGTCGACCTTGAGCCAGTCAGGATCGAACTGCTGGCAGTGGGCAGTGAATTAACCTGCAATGCTGCATTCTAACCACTGCGCCTCCACGGCTCTCAGTTTAGCCCAGAGCAGGGATGAAGAAGCTCAAAAGGGACTTTTCCCCCTTTCTCGGCCTGTACAGATAGTCCTCGACTTACGACCACAATTGAGCCCAAGATTTCTGTGGCCAAAGCGGGACATTTGCAAAGTGAGCTTTGCCCCATTTTACGACCTTTCTTGCCAGAGTGGTTCGGTGAATCCCTGCAGTCGTTAAGCGAGGAACCTGGTTGTTAAGCGAACCCGGCTTCCCCCGTTGACTTTGCTCGTCATAAGGTCACAAATGGCGATCGCACGACACACACACACCGGGGATGCTGCAACGGTCACAAAGCCAATTACGGCAACGGTGATCAGCTTCTGGCGAGCAAAGTCAATGGGGGGAGTCAGATTCACTTAATGACCGTGTTACTATCCTGCAGCAATTCACTTAACAACTGCGGCAAAGGAAAGAAAAATCAATCCATCCATCCGAATAGAGCTGGAAAGGGCCTGGGAGGTCTTCTAGTCCAACCCCCTGCGTGTGCAGGCTTAACGGCTGTCTTGCTTAGCAATGGGAAATTCGGGCTCAGCTGTTGGTCGTAAAACGAGGACTAACTGTGATCGGAATGAAGATGGAAACTAATCAAGGAGAGAAGCAACCTAGCACTAAGGAGAAACTTCCTGACAGTGAGAACAATTAACCAGTGGAACAACCTGCCTCCAGAAGCGGTGAATGCTCCAACACTGGAGGTTTTTAAGAAGAGACTGGACAGCCATCTGTCTGAAATGGTGTAGGGTTTCCTGCCTGAGCAGGGGGTTGGACTAGAAGACCTCCAAGGTCCCTTCCAACATCATCATCATCATCATCATCATCATCATCATCATCATCATCATCATCACACGTACTTGGCGTAAGCTTTCTCCAGCAGGGGGAGCCAAAAGACGCCTTCCGTCTGGCACTGGGAGAAACAGAGCTTGCCCCCAAGACAAGGCAGCCGGTCATCGATGGTCACCTCCACCCAGTGGCCAAACTGCCAGATGCGACAGGTGAAACATCCTCGGTATTTCTCATCCTTCCAGCTGGGCTGACCTGGAGGGATAACCTGGGATAAGAGAAGAAACCGCTCGTTGGTACGAAGACTATTGGTCGGAACAGCCATCAGTCTCCTACGCCGGAGGGCTTAAGCCCTCCCGTCCAACCTTTCTGAATATCCCAAGGTTCTAGTCCTTAGGGAGGGCAGAGAGCGTTTGAAAATGCACGCAGAGCAGGATCCAGAGAGAACGGTGCTTTTCCCCAAAACATTCGCCTCCTGCTCCATCTCCAGAAATTAATGTCCCCTTCTTCCAAGGAACGCACGCTTTTGCTTAATTTGAATCGTTTCGTTTGGTTGCGTAGCTGCGGCTTCGGTGAGGCCTTGGGTGCAGGGAGGCAGGTTTTATTACGGCGAAATAAAACGGAATGGATGCAATAGGCTTCGCTTAGAGATCTGAGTAACTTGCACCCCGAGTGGTGGGAGAGTCTTTACCTTGGTTAGCAGATATTTATTTTTCTGCAAAGCGGCGCAGGCACAGAGAAACCAGCAATCCCCCAGCATGCCTTGCTTGACCTGCCATTCGTGTTGATTGTCTGAAAATAACCGAGGTGAAGAGCAGATCTCCTGATGGGGAAGAAGAAGGGAACTTAGAAAGGAAACATGCTAGGTTTGCAATATTCTTCCTCCCTTCCTTCCTCCCTCCCGCCCTCCCTTTCCTTCTTTCCATCTCTCCCTTCCCTCCCTTCCTCCCTCTCCTTCCTTCCTCCCTTCCTCCCTCCCATTCCTTCCTTTCTTCCATCTCCTCCTCCCCTCCTTTCCTCCCTCCGTCCCTCTCCTTCCTTCCCTCCATCCCCTCCCTCCATCCCTCCCTCCCCTCTCTCCATCCCTCTTCCCTTCCTCCCTCCATCCCTCCCATTCCTTCCTTCCCTCCATCTCTCC